TGGCGTAGGCCCGCCCTTTCACCTCCCCCCAAAACAAAACAAAACAAAACAAAACAAAACAAAACAAAATTTCTTACCTTGTGTCAAGCATTCTTTCACTTGGGGTAACCAAAAGACCCTTACTAAATAAAGTGAGAATACTAATTATTTTTGCAAATTTTCATTTTTTCAGCAATCTGTAGTAGTTTTTGCCTCCCCTCACCTTTTGACCCACTGGCAAAGAAACGAAAGGTATTTTTTAAAAAATGTTTAAAAGAATTCAGGTATCATTTCTCAGTCTTTTGGCTAAGGTCAAGTGAAAGAATTCAGGAATTCAGTAAGTAATTACTGCCTAGCTTGTTTTTTAAGAAATACATTTTGGGGCACCTGAGTGGCTCAGTCAGTTAAACATCTGACCTCAGCTCAGGTCATAATCTCACGGTTCGAGCCCTGCGTCAGGCTCTGTGCTGACAGCTCAGAGCCTGGAGCCTGCTTCGGATTCTGTTTCTCCCTCTCTCTCTCTCTCTGCCCCTCCCCTGTTCATGCTCTGTCTCTCTGTCTCTCAAAAATAATAAATAAACATTAAAAATTTTTTAATTAAATAAACAATATTAATATAATATTACTATAACTACCATGGAATTTCAGTGACCTTTTCTTTATGTGCAAAGTACTGTGCTAAGCATTGCGGAGGGCACCACATTTTAAAACTGTCTTAAACCTCAAGAATTAACACTCCCAGTTAAAATTTTCAAAGTCACAGGCATGGAAAGTTAATAAGCAATGCAGGGTAATAAGTACCAAGATCTGAGTGAATGGTATACACAGTGCAAGAGGTCAGAAGAGATAAATTTATGTCCAGGAGGGCTGATAAGAGAGAATATTAGGAAAGAAGGTTCAAACTGGAATCTGATGGTAGGTACAGTTTGTGGAAAAGACAGGAAAGGTCTTTCTCACTGTACTGTTTGGCATGTCAAAAGCTAGAGGGACTTGGTTGGATTTGCCGGGATTAGCACAGTAGGTGTTAGTGAAGTAACAGAAATTGACAGAAGATAAGATGGGAAAACTGATCAGGTTAAAAATTATGTACAGAGAGCCTTGAATGACATAGTGAACTTACCATTTCAGTTCTCCATGGTTTTACAATATGGACAGTAAGGAGGACTAAACCTACTTTTTGACAATATTACAGTTGAAAGTCGCTTATTTGGCAGGTCAGAAGTGAGATTAAATTTATAAATGTATTTCAAAGTCCCATGCTATATAAAATAGCAAATTACTGCATGATAAATGAGGAAGGAAAAAAAACTCAGTATACAGAGAGTATGTGAATAGCTGTTCTAAATACAAGAAGTCCCAGAAATAAAAGACTAAACCTTTTCTCTGTCACTAATTTGAAAGCTTTCATCTAAATTGGCAGAGCTTCTTAGGAGGCAGAACAATTTGCAAAGGCCCTGTGGAGATGTAAATAGGACTACATAATTCTCCTCTGTCCTGTCTTAACCTTTGACCAACCCTTCTTGTATGATGCAAAATTCATCAGATTCTTTGTTCCGTTGTAGATAAACTCTTCTGTTTTGTGACAAAGAAATAATCTTACAAGAAGAGACACAATACGGAATTACTTTGCACAGGGTTTTTGCTGTAGCTATTTCAAATGAACTCTTATACTAAGAAGCTACCATAGTGAGCTCCATTTTTCCACCAGACACCTATACACAATGGTTTGGCTACCAGAACTCTAATTCAACCAGAACGTATTGAAGACAGTAGTATAGTGAAGTAGGTAAGTACACACGCTTTGAAATCAGAAAGCCCAAATTCAAACCCCAATTCTGTCACATCTAAATGTGTGACTTTGTTCAAAGTTACTTCGAGTAACTTCTATAAGCTTTAAGCCTCAGTCTTTCTTATCTGCAAATAGGGATGACAATTGTATCTACTCTGTATATGGTTATGAGCATTAAATTAAATAATATATATGAAGTTTATTGATAGACCCAAATGTCATCAATACGCATTAGCTATATTATTTTCATTATTCTTGCCTCAGCCCCAAGCTCCCAAAATTGCTTATTACCTACAATGCCGTGCTCTTGAATCCCACAGCATAAGTCATGAAGCTAGTCCATAAAAAACAAAGCAGCAGCCAGTATGTTGCCTTTAAAGCAAGTCTTTAAAACAAGGGATGCAGCAAAGCAAGAGTCTGGGGGCTTTCCCAGTGCAACTGGTCTACCTACATGTTTATTTCCACAGCAAGTCCCAGAGGCAGGTCATTAGACCTTCAGCAGACATTTAATTAAGCACCCACTATGTTCTAGTCCTTGAAAAAAAGATTAACCCAAATCTTATTCCAAAGATTAAAGATCCAAAGAACAGTGAAAGAGCTTCTGATGTTAACAAACTCACAGACTAGCTGTGGAAACAAGGACCTAATTATGTTATCATACAATGTAATGTAAACTCCAGGGACAAGGGTACTGTGTTCACCGCTCCATCCCCAGCACTTACAAAGGTGCCTGGCACATAGTAGGCACTCCGTAAATATTTATGAAGCGAATGAAAGAGTAGTGGATATTTTTAATAAAAGTATACACAGGGCACTCTGAAAGCATGACATAGAGAAGGTAGAAGTGAGGAGGAAAGGGGAAGACTTCTTAGATTATAGTAGAAATTCAGATAAAGCAGAGAATCATAAAAGTCATATATAAATATATTTTAACTTGGAACATGAACATCTATTCGTTTTTCAGCCTTTTGATACAGGCTCAGTTTTTTTCTTTGAATAAAAGTTCCATGAAGTGGAGTTTATTGACTCTTTTTTTTTTAAGTGTATTTATTTATTTTGAGAGAGAGAGAACACAAGCAGAGGAGGGGCAGAGAAAGAGAGAATCCCAAGCAGGCTCCGTGCTGTCAGCACCGAGCCCCATGTGGAGCTCCATCTCCTAACCCTGCGATCATGATCAGAGCCAAAATCGAGAGCCAGACACTTAACCGACCGAGCTACCCAAGCACCCCGTAGTGACTCTTCCTTACATGAGTTACCAATAATCCCTTACTTGCGATTTCTAGTTAATGTTTCTTGAGGTGAAGCAGGAAGTTGAAGATAATTTGTGAAACAATCACAGGGCTATTTCTTGATTCTTAAGATTCTCCTCAACCCTTTGTAGTAGCTTTAGACCACTTCTTTCTGAAGTCTTACCAAAGCATTTGATGCAGTTGTGTAGAAACAACTCTCTGGCTTTCCTCACTCATATTTCATCAGTTTGCGTCATATGGTTTTGAATCCTGTCACCTCAAGCGCAGCTGGCAGACACAGGTCTGGCAGCAGACACAGCTCTCCCGGCAGGAGCAGGAGCCCATGGGGACACCCCTGAGAACTAGCATCCACGAGCTCCGGGTGTGTGTGGACAGCAGTCAGTGCAGCTAACACAGGGGAGGAGAATGTCAGTTAGCCCAGTTAGCCTCTTCATTGAAGATGCATGAGAAAGAGTTTCTAGAATATTGGAAGAGTCGATCTTCCTTAAAGGAATGAGCAGGGAGGATCAAGGACATACAGACAGAGAGAATAACACATACAAATAACACAACACTTGATAAGATGAAAATCTGATCATGTTCTTTCCCGACTTGGAAGTCTCATACAAAGGCATAGAGGCATGAGCAAACCTGGCCTTCTGGCATAATTTTAAATAATTTTTATTACCAGAGCTCAGGCTGTCCACGGAAAATAGCAGAAGGTAAGACTGGGAAGGCAGGCAGGGACAGAGGAGGGAGGGAGCTCTCATGCTGGTCTTCATACATGTCACCTAATTTTAAATGACTGCTTTTTGGCAGGTGTGACCTTTGCATTTCCTACATTTCCACTGCTCTCCAACTTACCTATGTTATGTACCTGGCCTTTGAAAGCACCTGTTTTTGCCATCATGGCTTAGAGGTTGGGTTTTCTCAGAGCCTTCCAAGTCGGGAAAGGACCTGATCAGATTTTCATCTTATTAAGACAATTCAGACAGATCTGGGGGAGGGGGAGTGAGAACAGACATAACCAGTTGGAAGGCAATTATGGAAGTCAAGTTGAGAAGTGACGATAAGTAAGTTCAAGGCAATGCCTGTAGGAATAAAGAGAAAGAAATGGATTTCAGAGAGATTCTTAAGCTTGTTGGATACACTGAGTGGAGAATAGGGAAGAATCTGGGATGACACACAGATTTTTATCACCTTTGAAAAAAATAGTGACATCATTCTCAGAGGTAGGAACTAGCAGAGGAAAGGCAAGGTGATGAATTGGAGTGTCTGTGAGATAACCAGGTGGGGGAGCGAAGCAGACAGTCAGAAGTGATGTGTTCAGAGTTTGTGTAAAGAGGGCCACAGATGAAGATTTAGGAATCATCCATTCCGCATGTAGATGAGACCCCTGTGGAGAGAGCTCAGAAAGAAATGGGACATTGGAGAACACTTGCATTTGAGCAGAATGTCTAAATATGAGGCATGTCAGGGAGACTGATGGGGGGATGGGGAGAAGCAGGGAGGCAAGGTGGGATGCAAACGTGGGGATACTCAAGACAGAGAAAAGGGTCAACAATAGCAAATGCAGAAAAGAACACTTAGGATTATGATGGAAGACATCCCTTTAGAGTTCATCACTAAAAGATCTTTATGTGATTAAATAAGAGTCCTTATTACTATGTGATTAAATCAGATTCCAGGAGCTGCTGATTAATGGGAAGTAGAGAAATGGAGACAATTATTTTAAGCAATCTTTCAACTTCTCTGTGAAGCGGGTGGGCTACAGAGAATCGTTTCAGGTGAGACATACTTAGAGGGTTTGTCTTGAACTAAATGGAAGGCACCAGAAGAGAGAAAAGGGCTTGAAAAAGGAGAGGAGGAAGAGATGACCTCTAGAGCACAGGCAGTTGGAGAGTGGATATCTCCTCTGAAGGAGAAGGGAAGAATCGATAATGGACAAACCGATCTGTAGCTGAGGAGGAAGCCAGTAGAGCTTGCATCTGGTGGCCTCTGGTAAAATAGAAGACACATTTATCTGCTGAGAGCAGCGCGGAGGGCAGGGGCAGGTGGGAGATTTGAACAGGACAGGAGAGATGAAACAGTTGTGAGGATTGAGTGAGGAAAGTAGTTGTGGACACCAATCAGGATTCTTGGTGTCCTTGTGGACTCGGCTGACTCAGGAAGCCACAAGGTCATAGGGGAGCGTGCTGTGAATGATTTTTCTCTGGCAGATCTCCAAGGCCTGACAGGAGGGCAGAGAACAATGATTGGCTGGTCCAGGTTTGGATGTTTGCAGACCATTTGCGACAAAAGACCAAGAGAGGGAGCATGAGAAGAAGGGTTGCTCATATGACGAGCCACGAGATCCTGGCTGGATCTGGAAAGAAGTAAAACCAGGAGATAGTTGGTGGGCTGGAAGGGTAGAGTAGCTCCTCAGTCACAACGTGTCCACAAGCAAGTTTCGTCCTCAAGTTGGCAGGCCTAAAGGATGAGGGGACGTTAACGGGCACTCCCTGAGGTTATTTGCACAGATGACAAAAGCTATGACCATCACTTCTTTCTAGACCATTCTAGGCCAGGATTCTCCAAAGAGCCTAACAGAAAAGAGTTCATCTGCATGTTTATCAAGGATGAAACTTGGTGGAGCTGGAATGTGTTCTTTTTAGAGGTTTTATCTACAGGCTCATTTTTAGATGAAGAAATTGACATTTACAGAGATTCCGTGATGTGTCCATGTTTACACGGGTAATTAGCCTCTAGGATCAGAACTCAGCTCTCCTGATCATGCCACCTCACTCTTCCACACACATGGCCTCTGTCTTGAAATTCAAAACCTACCAAAACTTGATGCTTTGTTTCCTCTGGATCAGCAGGTTAATCCTGCACCAAGAAATTAAATAAGGGCGTGTTGGAAACCCTAGAAAACTGCACAAGATTGTTGACCATGGTCAACTGGTTTTTCTTTCTGTAATTCACCTGGTGGCCTGTTTCATTTCTCTCCTGCATTAACCCCTTAACTCACTTCTTCCCCTCAATTACTGATGTATTAAACCAATAGAGAAAACCTCCAGTGGGACGCAAAGTATACCTCAAAGGACAGTGCTCGATGGTGTGTACACAGTAGTACGAAGTTTGCAGAGAATTAAACTCCTTCATCCAATTTTAAGATCAGCTTCCAATGTGTTTGTGAAGGTGAAAAAATGAAATATTTCCCTCTGCTTCTTGCCACTGCAATCCTTCTGCTTTTAGCACCCAGAAAAATGCTGCTCCTCTTAAAATACCCCACTAACTTTTTTTTTCTTTTTTAGTGATGGAGTTTTTGTGGGAGATTTCAGTGATCAGTGTTGAAAAGTAATCACTAAACTGAGAAAACAATGCTCAAATCTATACAAACGAATTGGTCTGGATTTGTGTCAGTCTACTTTAGGGTTCTGAGAAGGGTCCTGTGCATTGAGTCTGGGAATCTCTTTCTTCCCTGCACAGAACTGTCAAGTATCCACCAGGCTACTGAGGCATGGAAACTTTATGAAATACTAACCAGCACTTTCTCCCACTCGAAGGTACCATGTTCTCTGCTACAAGTGGAATGAAGAACCCCCAGTGAGCCCTGACACCTGTGCCACCATTTTGGAAAAAGCTGGTCTGGATAACTGGGCTCTTGGAAAAACAAAAGTAATGTTTGCATGTAATTTTCAAGGACAAATAATAATTGTAAATGTGTTGGATTTACTGAAAATTATAACATTTTCCAGTGCTTGAAAATATTATGGCTTTTTTATGTTACAGAAGCTCTAGCTTAAACTAGGGAATTAAGTTGACAAATTCATAAAGGTTTTCTTCTTCAGCAGAATTAAACACTTTGTTGTCATAAAGGTTTCTTTTAAGAAATTCAAGAAAAGTTTCTCTTGAAGATTTATCCAAAAAAAAAAGATGAAATTTAGAGTGAGTACATTTCATTTCAAGTAGTATTAGAAACATACTGAGATATATTCTCTTTTTTATCACCACAAATATAGTCTATAAATATTCAGAATGTGTTAATATATATTAATATCATATAATATATACAGAATATATTCTGTAGAAAATCATAATGATCTGAACAGGATCCTAATATTTTTTTCCTAATTCTCAAATCTGCTTCTGTTATAAACTTCAAATTTATCTGGAGCAAAATATTCACCATTGTTAGTAGACTTGCTATAAGTGTTTGGCTATCACTGTGTTTATGTATTAGACTTGAGACCGGAGAGATTTTAGCTTATTTAATCACTTAGAGAATGAAGAAAAAAAATCATAACAGATTTTGCGTATGGAAGTAAGATAGGTGGCTGCTTGGAGAAAGGATGCATTAGGCTCCTCAGATAGCCTCAAAGCATTACAAAATGGGGATAAGGAAATAAAGAGGGTACCAGGCCTGAGGGGTACACTGAATATATCATTGGGGGGAGGATTGAGAAAAGAGTCAATCTAAAGAAAAGTCCTCAGAGACTGACCCTTCAAGAATAACCACTGTCGGGGCGCCTGGGTGGCGCAGTCGGTTAAGCGTCCGACTTCAGCCAGGTCAGGATCTCGCGGTCCGTGAGTTCGAGCCCCGCGTCAGGCTCTGGGCTGATGGCTCGGAGCCTGGAGCCTGTTTCCGATTCTGTGTCTCCCTCTCTCTCTGCCCCTCCCCCGTTCATGCTCTGTCTCTCTCTGTCCCAAAAATAAATAAAAACGTGGAAAAAAAAATATTTAAAAAAAAATAAAAAAAAAGAATAACCACTGTCGGCCATATTGACTGAAACAAACGTCCACATTAGTCGTCTCTAGGGGTGGAAGATATGGGAGAGAATTTTCATGTTTACAAAAGAAGCTACTCCTTAACAATTTAAGGGATTTTAAAAAATATTTATCTTAGACCGAGTGTCTTACATATTCAGTAACCCATATTTACTTCAGTAGTTAGCAAGGCGAAATTCTGAGCACTAAAAAAGATGTGTATCTTATTTATACCATGTTCTTTTAGATGATCACAAAGATGAATTTTGTCAGGCTGAAATCTCACGATTTATGGTCTGAAACACATGCCTAACTTCAAATGGAGTTTTAACTCGTAAAAAGGGCCTTTTGCAGTTCCAGTCCTACATGGTATTTAAGTAGCATTTTAAAGCTGTTTGTATTTTTCCACTTCACCTTTTCCAACTCATTAAGATGAATAAAAGTATTCAATACAGAAACATTTCTAATGCTGCACAAAAAAAAAAGTAATAAAAAAGATGACCTTTTTGAACAGACTGAATTTTAAATGAATTGTCAACAGTAGAATGGATTAAATAAATTAGCGTCCAGAGTCCCATAGAAATTAAAACTAAATTCCGTCAAACCCTGTAATGCTAACCTGCCTGTGGTGCCAAGCTTTCAAGTCATGGAGCTGCAAAGAGGGTTCTACTTTCAGTGTTACCAGTTCTTATGACTCAGCTGTTAAATTTGAATTTAAGTGACTTTCTTGGTGGATTCAATAAACTTTCTTTTAGGTGACTTTTATTAGTAAATGTATCCATGAAAAGAAAAAAAACATCTTCCTATTTCCTGGCGGAGGTTGAAAACTCTTAAATGAGAATAACTCCAGGCCTGCAGGCCCCTCCGTTTCTTCAATTCATTTCGATTTTAGAATGATCGAAAGTCAGTCCTCCTTTCTCCGTGGGGGCCACTGAGTCTAGCAGGAATGTTGTTCTGTCTGGGGCCATCTCTCTGCCTCAGTCCCTCCACTGACAACATGAGAGGCCCTGAAGGACGGTGCCCTGCCTTATTTACCTTTGTATCCTCAGCAGATGAGTACATACAGCAGGTGTCAATAAACATTTGATGAGTGAATTGCTATAGCTGTAAGTGTCCTCTATCTTACAGCTAGAGTTGTAAGACTTTTTAATTTGAAAAATACAGTTGTCTTTGTGAAAACATAAAAATCTAGCTTTGTTCACAGTAGATGTTGCTAAAACTTTGATACAAGAGCTGACCATCCTCCATTCTTATTGGCCCAGTCAACAAAACCTAGTTAACTGGCTGCAAATAACAGAATGATTGCTAAACAATATTTGTTCTCAAAGAGAAGTTTTCTTCAAGAATAAAAATGTAAAATGTAGCAAAATCCAGGCCAAACAAGCAGAAGATAGTGATTTCCAAAATCTGAAAAAGATTTAGAATATAATCTGTTCTTCATAGCGTATGACTATTTCGCATTGGTGTGCCCTAGTTTTATCTGTATTTTATTTTCACTCTTTTAAGGTGTTCCTTAAATATTATCATGTGGAACAGTTAAATTTAATGCGAAAGGAAGCCATTGACAAGCTTATTTTGATTCAAGCCTGTGTCAGAGGATTCTTGGATTCAAGGAGGTACCAAAAAATACAGGAGAAAAGAAAAGAGAGTGCTATAATAATACAGTCAGGTAATCACTCAGATGGTCTCACCGTGTAACAAAACTTAACGTTATGTTCAGATATGGACATCTAATCTTATATTCAAACCCCCATTCTTATGTAGCTTTTGTATTTAATTCCAGACTCGGTTACGTTGATGCTTTGTCTATACTAAATCTAAATCTGATTGCTTTAGTGATTGACACTTTTAATATTTGAATGTTTTGTTTTAAATAAAATAATTTAATTTTTAAATTTTCTGTCAAGCATCAATGAAATACGATTGACCTCTTGTGCAAGATACAAGTGATTAAATTAGTTACAGATCTCAGGAATCATATTATTATAATCCATTGGACAATAACACTTTTCCTACTTTATTCCAAAGGTTACACTTGCCACAATGTTTGACCACTTGATTAAATCTCATTATGTTAAAGGGCATCCGTTTCTATTAACTGTAGGTAAATAATATTTATAATAATACTTTACACATTTTTATTAAAATGTATCAATAGACTTTAGATTTCACTTTCCATTTTTCAATAAGAAACTAAATTTAGAACCTGGTATGGTTCAGTAAAGCATCTTCCACAACGTGTTGAGTGGACTTCCATAGTAAAAACTGTATTCTCCCGTGTAACCTGATATGCACACATACTACATGCAATGCACTCTGATATTTTCTGTTCTGGCTTATTCCACTTCATTTTTAGATGCTAGATTTGGCCCACTAATCCATTTTATGATCCACTATGATCTGCAGCCTGCCTTCTGAGGAGCACTGACATGGACAGAATAGCTGACTAACATTTGAGAGATTCCTGTTCCAGTCTCGGGTCTGTCAAATCGTAAGGGCTCATCTCTTTGGGGATTTTAAAGCCCTTAACTTCTCCCTGCAGCATCAAAATGCAAATCCCTAAAATTTGGGATCAGATTCTTTATCCACAGTTTCACAATTTATAAAACACTGAAGAAACGGTTTTTCACAACTCATCTGGCAGTGAAACATGACCTAATATTTATAGTCCTTCATCACTCCTAGTAAAAATATTGGTTTTCTGGAGAAATATTTGTATTTTTGATTATGGAATGCTGCCCTGACATGGGGAATGTTATAGGATATATGTTATTTGCTCTGAATTACCTTTATAAAATAAAAAAGTTTAAAGCTGAATTCTGAAATCTATCTGGTTCCAAGGATAATTGGCCAAAAAGTCCAAAACATATTCTTAAATAATAGGGGCTTTCTCCTGTAAATAGCTGACGTAATTATTAGCAGATTTAAGCAAATGAATACAGTTTGTCTTTTTCAACAACTTAGCTAATCTCTTTCATTTTAGTTTCATCCCAGTACTGTCCTTAATGCAAAAGGCACTTTAATTATTTTCTTGCTATAGAAGAATCTTGTTAATGAACAATATTTTTTATGAACCTGTCCTATTTGGGCTCTTTAATTTCATTTTCCTGACATTGTCAAAAAAAATTTGTTTCTATTCACTTAAGTAATGGCTTTTTCTTTATTCTGATTAATGCTACTCTGGACCTTGTATGTTTCAGCTGCAAGAGGACATCTAGTCAGGAAACAAAGGAAAGAAATTGTTAACACAAAAAACACAGCAGTAACAACTATTCAGACTCATGATCAGCAATTTGACTACAAGAAAAACTTTGAAAATAAAAGGTATATTGATGTTCATTTTTATACCATTTTGACATTACACATTTTTCAAATCTGTAAAGTCAAAATAAAGTTCACAGTCTTTCTTGTACCTAATCAGGCTCCTAATACCAGTTTATTAAATGTCAGTGAACACCCAGTGGCCACTCTTGTGTTCTTTATCCTATTTGGGAGTTCACTGGCATTTCACACTGATGACCACACTTTCCTTCCATAGTTTTTTTTCTTCCTAGGCTTCTGCTGGATTGCACTCTGCATTTCTGCTCCTAATTCTGAGTATCCTTTGCTAATTCCTCCTCCCGTCCCCATATTTAAATCCTCCTCCACATCTGAATATCATCTCTGGGCTTTCTCATTCATTCCCATGGTGTTAATAATCAGTATACTGTAACTCCTAAGCCAGAATCCAATCTTCAAAGCATGACACTTTGCCCTTTCTTCTCTCGAGCCTCCATATCTATATTTCTAAGTGCTTATTAGCAGATCCACCTGAATGCATTTATACATAAAGCTGTATGGTAAGCTGTGAAGACATGTAGATAGATGAGACAAAATCCTGATCCTCAAATTACCCATAGAAACATGGGAAGGAAATATAACCAATAAATATGTGATTTTAATAACACAAGTTAACTCTGCTATAAAAATATGCAAATTGTGCAGTAGGGCATGGAAGATCTTGGTAGGGATTAGGGGAAGAGAAAGTATATAGATTTTGCCTCAGTGGTAAAGCTTGAATTGATCAAAAGAAGAAAGAGTGGTCTCCAGGGAAATGAAGATCATTCCAGCCCCAATCCCAGTACGCTTGTCCTTTTTTTAAATCTATTGGTATTCAGTTGACCTATAACACTGTGTCACTTTCAGGTGTACAACATGAGGATTTGGTATACATATATATTGTGAAATAATTACCACAGTGAAGTTAGTTAACACATTTATCACCTCAATAATTACAACTCTGTGTGTGTATGTGTGTGGTGACAACATTTAAGAACACCTGTCTTAGCAACTCTTGAGTCTATAATACAGTACTGTTAACAATCACCATGCTGTATATTAGATCCCAAGAACTTATTCATCTTTTTAAAAATTTAAGTTTTATTGATGTGTAATTAACATACAAAATTATAAGATATTTGAAGTGTGCATCATGATGATCTGATATGCATCTGCATTGTGGAAAGATTCCCCCATCTAATTCATTACCACGTCCATCACCTTACATAGTTCCTTTTTGTGCTTTTTTGGTGAGAACATTGAAATTCTACTCCTTTAGCAAAATTCAGTTATACAAAACCATGTGTAGTCCCATGTTTTATATGAGATCCTCAGACCTACCTATTCCTCTAATGGCTGGAAGGCTGTATCCTTTTTCCAGCGTCTCCCTCCTATTTCTTCTACCTCCCCCTCAAAACTACAGCTGTCCGTTTGTGTGGGTTTGACTTTTTCTTTTCTTTTTCAGATTCCACACATAAGTGATACTATGCAGTATTTGTTTTCCTCGGTCTGATTTCTTGTGTCCATGTTGTCACAAATGGCAGGATTTCTTCTCTCTTGTGGCTGAATGATACTCCATTGAATATGTATACCATATCTTCTTTATCCATTCATCCTTTAATGGTCACTTAGGTTATTTCTGTGTCTTGACTGTTGCGAATGATACTGCAATGAACATTGAAGTGCAGATAGCTCTTTGAGATCATTGCTTTGTTTTTTGATTGGGGGGGGGAGGGGGATGTACAACCAGAAGTAGGATTGCTGGATCATATGGTAGTGCTATTTTTAGTTTTTTGAGGAACCTCCATATCATTTTCCAAACTGGCAGCAATTTACATTCCCACCAACACAGCATTCTCAGTACATAAGGATTCTCTTTTCTTCACATCTTCACCAATGCTTGTTTTCTCTTGTCTTTTGTGATGATAGCCATTCTAACAGGTGTGAAGTGATACCTCATCATGGTTTGGATTTGCATTTCCAAATGTTGAGGCCCTTTTCATGTACCTGTTAGTCATTTTTTCATCTCCTTTAAAAATGCTTGTTCACATCCTCTGCCCATTTTTAAGTCAGGTTGTTCATTGTTTTGCTATTAAGTAGTATGAGTTCTTCATATATTTTTGGATATTAACCCTTTGTCACATCTGTGGGTTGCAAATATTTTCTCCCATTGCGTAGGTTGCCTTTTCATTTTATTGATGGTTTCTTTTGCTGTACAGAAGCTTTTTCATTTTATGTAGTCGCACTAGTTTATTTTTGCTTTTGTTGCTTTTGCTTTCAGTATCAAATCCAAAAAACAAAAAAACAAAAACAAAAATATTGCCAAACCAAAGTCAAGGAGCTTGCCACCTATATTTTCTCCTCAGAGTTTTATGATTTCAGGTCTTATTTCCAAGTCTTTAAATTCATTTTCAGTTGATTTTTGTATATAGTGTAAGATAGGAATCCGGTTTAATTATTTTGCATGTGTCTGTCTAATTTTCCCAAAACCATTTATTGAAGAGACTATTCCACCCCCATTGTGTATTCTTGGTTCTCCTGTCCTGAATTAATTGGCCATAAATGTGTGTGTTTATTTTGGGCTCTCTATTCTGTTCCATTGATCTGTGAGTTTGTTTTTATGCCGATTCCACTCTGTTTTGATTACTATAGCTCTGTGGTAGTTTGCTTATCTTTTTCTCATTAATTATACTTTGATTAGTATAGGCATTCTCTGGGGGTGTTATGAAGGTATTCAAAATACTAGCATAGCCATTCCTTAAAATGATGGGTTCTTGGTATCCTGCCTCCTTCTCTGGTCCCTTGCAAAATAACAGAGATTCTATTATGCCTCCTGTATAAACCTGAAGATGCTGTTATAGGCCTAGGAAGTGGCCAGTGGAATTAGATAAATTGAATTCCAGTAACTTTTTCCAAGTTTGACTCCAAGACAAATCCTTCTGTATGAACATATTGCAAAGGACCAAAAATTTCCCATGGATTTCCTAAGCGAAAATGGAAAGTTTTGAAAACTCCCCAAGTAGCATGTCAGGGTATCAGGTCATGACTTTTTCACTGTACTGTAACACACTTTTCATGGCCATATTGCTCTTGTGAGGGTTTTGTCCTCACCAAAAGAAAAAAAAAGTGAAAAAGAAGCTTATGTGGCTTAAAAAAAAAAAAAACTAGAGAAAATGTTATCTTTAAGGAAAATCATTTTGGGAGGATATTGGTAAAGTAACAACTGTGAAATTTTGGTCAACATATTGTATGATCATGAACCGTAGCAAGGACACTGCTTCCCTTTAATTTTGTAACATATTTACTGTGATCACCAGAGCTCGAGGGAGCTTATTAAATACAGCACATTAGCCTAGTGAACATACCCTGCTTACTAGTCTCAAATTTTGATATATTTTCCACAACCTCTCCTCACCGTAGGTACTTTCTTTAGAAAAAGACATGTTTTGAAGTGATTAAATTCCTAGGGTTTTGATGCCTCATTAAGTGAAAATATGCTAGGATAGTTCTCATTCTAAATTGAAACTGGTTTCGTCATTATTAGAGCAGCTACCATAGTTGTTGCTAGAGAGAACATGTGGGAAACATTTGATTAACGTGACTTGAGAAGTTTTTATTTGAAGGTTTTTTTGTTTTTTGTTTTTTGGGTTTTTTTGTTTGTTTTTGTTTTTTTGCCCCTGTTACTGTTCTCCCAACACTATACAGGTAAATAAGGTCCAGTTTAATATCGTATATTCAGATGCAGTATGTTTTACACAGGGAATCTTTTGTGAAGAAACAGACAGAAAATGTGGTCCCTACTAACGAAACAGTCATTCCAGCTCCAAATAATAAAGGAAGTACATCTGCAGTGAAGACTTCTACTTTCAGAGTTGAAGGGGAAGCCATGATTGCTGTTGAAAGTAACAACAGAGGACATCAAACTCAGAAAAAAATGAATAACATGTATGGAGAAGAGGCTAAGCAGGAAGTGTATCTGGTGGGGGACCCTTGGACAGAAGGACAGCCTAAGAAGAAATACGCGAAAGACCTGGAAGAGAATAGTAAGGTAAGGAGAGTGGAGGAGAACACTGTGCTCCAGAATTACTATCAGAGGTATGCAGAGGAAAGGAATTTTGAAGAATCAAAAGTAGCATATCTAGAAAGGAAGGCCATCTCGGAAAGGCCAAGCTACCCAGGACTTTGGGTGGTGGAGAATGAGACAAAGCAACCTTCTTTAACAAAAAGTTTGGAACCCAGTCTTAGCCAAAGGTCGGTTCATCAAAATGGAGATAGCAAGGAAAAAGAAAAGAAGACATCTGTAGTTACCCAGAATGCACCAGTGTGCAGCCATCAGAGAAGCCATTTGACGCCTGGGTCGGTCAGAGAGAGGCCAGCCCAAGCCAGCATGCACGCCCAGGAGGAAGATAGAGCGGCAGTGTTCATTCAGAGCAAATACCGGGGCTACAAGAGAAAGCAGCAATTACAGGACAGGATGTCTTCTTTTCAAAGTCAAAAGGTTGTTTCAAAACCAACAGAAGTAGCAACAAATACCCATGATTTGTACTCCTATCCCAGAAAACATGAGGAATCCTGTAATATCAGGAGAAAGAATGATAGAGACTCAAAGGCAGTTTTAGAGAACCAACCATGTGATTTGGCAATCTTTTCAAAACAGGTATGTAAACAAACAGATTTATTTACTAGTAGAAATCTCTGGGAACTACACAGTAACTGAAGTAAATGTACTATTAATTAATAATTATTAATAATTGTTTCATCTCTTTTTATGAGGCTGCAACCCTCTTTAATGAATGTCTCAAAGGTTTTGCTATTCAAATAGCCATAAATTTTTAAGATGATGTGCTGTTAGAAGTAGTATAAAATACGATGGAAACCTTCTGTAGTCAAGAGACTAGTCATTGGTTTATGCAGCTTACTAAAATGTTGACATTGGACAATGCAGATTTCCTTCTCTGAGATCTTTCACTAGAGTTTAAAAAAAAAAGAAACAGAAAAAAAGTGTTATAAATCCTCTAAAATCTATGCTTTTTCTGCCCCAGATTTTAAGAAGACATAATGAGGTGTCAAAATTAGGCATGTAGCCCTACTCAGGCATACATGCAATGAAGGTAGAAATCTACATGTTACATCGTGACAATAAGAAACCGCAAAGAACAATTCCCTCTTGGAGTATATCGTGTGCCAAGAGTAGGCATGTTTTGGCTGTTTCTAGAAGGGGGCAGTTGGCTTTAGCGCTTCTCATGGGTGTGCATGGAACACTGATTACTTAGTATTATGGAGGGAGAGACCACAGGGAGCTGCTGCTGGAAATGCCAATCCCAGGTCTTGCCTTCTCTGTAGGTGTTTGATCTTAAGAGAATCACTTTATGTGTGACCTTAAGAAAATCACCTTTATTTTTCTCTTATGTAAAGTGAAGGATTTTAACTAGATGACCTCTCTCAAATGCATATTGTAAGTTAATATGCATCACCAGGGTAATCAATAGTATATACAATCATTGAAGAAATATCATTACGGGTTAGTTCAAAGAGGGATTGCCTAATACTTTTGGGTCCCCAAACTCTGCTCTTTGTCTCTGACAGTGACTGAGTCCATGCAAAAGCAAAGTAGCCACTCTTGGGCACCACTTTCATGTTATAGGTGTGGCCTAAACATCTCCAACTTGTAGCTTTTAGTAGAGATCTGCCAGCCCTTTCCTGTTCTTTTTTTTTTTTTTTTTTTTTTTTTTTTTTTTTTAAAGCACATGGACAAAGAGAGTTTAATATGCACGCAGTCCTTCCTTTCCTTGGTGCATACATTTGCTTACTCTAAAGACCAAACTGGGGATTGGAAACCTGACCTGCTACGCATGAGGGACATTGAGGAGATGCAGAATTACTAAATCATCTCCATAGAGCTGGGTAATAATGCCGTGGAAGTAGATTCAGCACTCCAGGGGGACAAAGCTAGAGGTGGAAAAGCAGGAGCTCCACATACAGCCCAGCAGTACAGCGATGTCCACAGGGTCAGGATGCAGACCAGAGAGAGGCAGAGGAGCTGGATGGAAAGAGAGGAGCCAGAGGAGAGGAGCCCTGACTTGAGGCTAAGAACACCGGAAAGGAAAGGAGGGGGTTAACACAACCAAAGGCAACCAAAGGCTTCTGTGGGCTAAAAGCAGAAAGGCAATTGCTACAGAATGGTACAGACAGAAGCCAGATCTCAGGGACCCCAGGGAGAAGTGATCAGGACAGAATGCCTCATGTAGCATGACACGTTTGGCAGTTTGTAAATGGAAAATGTGAGATGCGCAAGTTGCACCAAGGAGGAGGCTTGGTCAAGTGAGGACTTTTTCGGACCTTGGGTTTTCAGACATGGTTCAAGGTAGGTTCTGGAGAAGTGCGTGAGAGTCCCGGGGACAGTCAATCAGGAATTTACCAGATCCTGGTGTACATGTGCAGCCCTCTGAATTCTTTTCCTTGATTTAATCTGACACATGACCTTCTTTTTAGATATCAAAGTTATCTGAAGAATATTTCATTCTGCAGAAAAAACTGAATGAAATGATTTTGTCACAGCAACTGAAGCCTCTTTATCTGGGTGTCTATCCTCATAAGCCAATTAATAGACGAGTTTCTTCTCAGCAGTGCCTCTCAGGTAAAAATCAGTAGTTAGAACTTCCTGAAGGGAAACATAGTGTCAGATACTCTATTTGTTTATTAGTTTCTGACCTTTATTCTATGTCAGGTTTGAGGTAACTATGTTCTAACTGTTTGGGGGAGAACCTTCTCTTCATTCCATTTCTCATGTGTAGATAAAAACTTTTCCAGAATGTTCCACACACATTCTACTTTCTCTGACTTCATTCTCCCCTCTTTTCTTTTTTCTTTTTTTTCCCCCCTTCATATACACTTTAACTAGAAGTTTTCAAATGACACCAGAAGGAAATAGACATGGAGTTTGGAGGAGTGGGCAGAATGCAGGTTTGATGAGAGGGAGCAAAAAAGTAAATATCTATTCCTTTGTCAACATCTGCAACCTTAAGTAGACTATGGGAGGTTCAAATCTCCATTCATATGACAAACCCAAATGCATTATTATATTTTTCTTCTGATCAACTGTGTCACAGTCTGCCCCCATTTCGCTAAACTGGTAGGGGATTCAAACTCAGTATTTATCAGGCCTTCCCCTCTCCAGGGCTGTGCAAAGACCCTGCGGTCTTATACATCCACCAAAGGACCAGGTAGAGCCTGAGCCTGTGGTCACTAGTTATTTGCCTACACAGTTACTGTTGGGACACCCATCTCCTCGCTGGCATCATGACCCCTTCAAGTCAGGAGCTGTGCTGTTCCCCTACCCTCAGCAGGTACCTGGAAACTGTCAAGTCGGGAGTCTCACCTGGCCCATACATGCTTCGGGTAGCCATCATTTCTGCAGCCTTATAACCTCCCCCGGAAGCAGCCACTGATGGCCCTGCTGACATCTGTCTGGGAGAATATTTATTTTCCCTGACTTTTCTTGGAGGCCTCCTGCTCTCTCACCATCCCTACCAAGACACCTGGCATCACCTCTGCAATGACTTTGGTGTTGCCAAAGACCGGAAATCCTGCTAACCTCATGCAGCTTCTGCAAAAACCCCTTAGGCAGGAAATCACTAAGATGAGCCTGACTGTTTGATATGGGAGGAAGAGAAAATATCTTCATGTTCCAGTCAGTTGTCCTGCCACATTATTTTCAAGTCTGTAGTTGTAGTGAAGCTTTGAAAACAAAAATGGCTCTCTGTATTTAAGAGTCTCTTATGGTTTACCTCCCTCTCTGTAATGTATTTTTTCTTCCCTTCCCCTATGGTCTTCTGTTAAGTTTCTCGAATTCCACATATGAGTAAAAACATGATATCTGTCTTTTTCCGACTGGCTTATTTCACTTAGCATAATACCCTCCGGTTCCATCCATGTTGTTGCAAATGGCAAGATTTAATTCTTTTTCATTGCCAAATAATATTCCATTATATGTACATATGTACGTGTCTCTGTATAGAGAGAGACACATACATACACACACACACACACACACGCCACATCTTCTTTATCCATTCATCAGTTAATAGACATTTGGGCTCTTTCCTTAACTTGGCTATTGTTGATAACACTGCTGTAAATATTGGGGTGCATGTGTCCCTACAAATCAGCACTCCTGTATCCCTTGGATAAATTCCTAGTAGTGCTATTGCTGGGTCATAGGATAATTCTAGTTTTAATTTTTTGAGGAACCTCCACACTGTTTTCCAGAGTGGCTGCACCAGTTTGTATTCCCACCAACAGTGCAAGAGGTTTCTACTTTCTCTACATCGTCTCCAACATCTGTTGTTTCCTGAGTTGTTAATTTTAGCCACTCTGACCAGTGTGAGGTGGTATCTCATTGTGGTTTTGACTTGTATTTCCCTGATGATGAGTCATGTACCTTTTTTCATGTGTTGGTTGGCCATCTGGATATCTTCTTTGGAGAAGTGTCTATTCATGTCTTCTACCCGTTTCTTCACTGGATTATTTGTTTTTCAGGTGTTAAGTTTGGTAAGTTCTTTATAGATTTTTGATACCTTAATAGACTCTTAGATACAGAGAACAAACTGAGGGTTGATGGAGGTGAGGGATTGGGGGGTGGGAGAAATGGGTGATGGGGATTGAGGAGGGCACTTGTTGGGATGAGCACTGGGTTTTGTTATGTAAGTGATGAATCACAGAAATCTACTCCTGAAGCCAAGACTACACTGTATACACTATATGTTAGTTAATGTGACAATAAATTATCCACACACAAAAAAAGTGGCTCTCTTGCCCTTTCTACCACCACTGCTCTCAGGCCCTGGCCCAGAACCTCTTGATGTTAAGAAGCAGCTTCACAAGTCAGAGCCCAGATGCCCATCAGTTTGACAGCCTCCTGTGACCCAGGCCCACATGGCCTGCTGACAGTTGGAAGCAGAGGGGAAAGGTGGGGACTTCAGCTTCCCTCTTGGTGATATGTGCTGCAGCCCTGGTAAATGTGGGGCAGTGAGGTAGTGGTGGTGCAGGGAAGCCAGGGAAACCAGGCAGTGTCCCTGAGTAAGCAGCTCAGCCCTGTCCTTAAAGGGAAAGGAGGAGTGGGGGAGGGGTAGCAGCTTCCTACGAAGCTGTGTGTGTGTGTGTGTGTGTGTGTGACATCTTTATTCGTCTGTTGATGGACATTTAGGTTGTTTTCATATCTTGGCTATTGTGAACAATGCTGCAGTGAACATGGGAACACAGATACCTATTTGAGGTACTCATTTCACTTCCTTTGGATATGTATCCAAAGGGGGATTGCTGGATCATATAGTAGTTCTGCTTTTCATTTTTTGAGGTACCTCCATATTGTTTTCTGTAGTGGCTGTACCAATTTACATTTTCACCAACAATGTACAAAAGTTCCCTTTCTCCACATCCTAGCCATGTGTGTTTCTCTTGCCTTTGTAATAATACCCATCCTAACAGATGTTGAAGTAAAATCTCATTGTGATTTTGATTTGCGTTTTCTGGATGATTAGTGATATTGAACATCTTTTCAAATACTATTGGCCATTTGTATGTCGTCTTTGGAAAAATGTCACTTCGGGTCATTTGTCAGTTTTTAAATTGGGGTGGCTTGTTGTTTTGCTTGAGTTGTGTGAGTTCCCTGTATATATTGTGGATATTAACTCTTTATCTGATATTAACTCTTTATCTGATACATGGTTTTCAAATACTTTCTCCTATTCCATACATTGCCTTTTTATTTTGTTAATGGTTTCCTTTGCTGTAATGAAGCTTTTTTGATATACTTTCCTGTGCTTTTGTTATCATGGCCAAAAATTTACTGCCAAAGCCAATGTCAAAGAGCTTTTCCCCATGTTGTATTCGAGGATTTTTATGGATTCAGGTTTTATGCTTAAGTCTTTAATCCATTTTGAGCTGAATTTTTGTGTGATGCAAGATGAGTCCAATTTCATCTTTTTGTATGTGGATATCCAGCTTCTCCAGCACCATTTGTTGAAGAAATTGCCTTTTCCCCTTTGTGTATTCAGGTGCCCATATCAAAACATATGCTTGGGTTCATTTCTGGTTTCTCTGTTCTGTTCCATTGGTCTAGGTGCCTGTTTTTATGCCAATATCATACTCTTTTTGATTACTATAACTTTATAATACAGCTTGAAATTAGGAAGTATAATGCTTCCAATTCTGTTTTTCTTTCTCAAAATTGCTTTGTCAGGGACTTTGAAGAGACCTAAATGGTTAGAATATGATTAGAAAGTCGAATTAGTTCACTTTATTCTTCAATCTGACATTTTTTATTTTTTTATTTTTTTTAATATGAAATTTATTGTCAAACTGGTTTCCATACAACACCCAGTGCTCATCCCAACAGGTGCCCTCCTCAATACCCATCACCCACCCCCCATCTACCCTCAGTTTGTTCTCAGTTTTTAAGAGTCTCTTATGCTTTGGCTCTCTCCCT